CGTCGATCAGGCCCGCACCAAGCACGCAAGAGAATTTCTGGAAGCTTGGTATTCATCGGAAAACTCTGTCAACCGACACATTGACATAGATCAAGTCTACACTCCCATGCAACAAAAGGACCAATCAGCGCAAAGAAGGTGGGTCGTGTCACATGTCACAACAGGAAAGTAACAGTTAGACTGACCGATCAACGATCAGCCGTCAGACTACTCGGGTCGACCTCATCCCCTATTGGCACAAGGCGAACAAACATCAGCCAATCAGGCAACGTCACATCTCCACATGACTCAACGATCTATGTAATGAAATGGGCACTCGTAAGCGCTCACCCAGTTACTGCATTGAGAATGTCACCTCGATTGGTGATGAAACGTTTGCAATATAATTGCCAAGCTCGGTGAACAACGGAACACCAAGTTGCACTACCCGAACTGCAAAAACAACAATGAACACCGTTGTTTAAAAAACTGTCATATATATAGATATATATATCTTGCCCCGATGCACTCATATCTGATGTAACACTGTTTGCTAATACCATAGTAACACAATTCACCACTTGCATTGACCAATCTTTGTGCATTACCGCTGGAGACTTCAATCGCTTTGATACCTGCTTCCTAACTACTCTAGGTTTCAACGGGTACGTTCGTCGTGTTTATAGCAAATGAAGCGTGAACTCAAAATCTAGAAAGCACTGAAAGGCCGTTTCGACTTGGTTGTGTCTCATCAGCAGTGCGAATCCAACGACACAACTTTTGATCGAACCCCGGATCTCATGGGCAGAACGCAAGCATGGTACCCACGCGGCCACTGGGCAGCTGATCAGGCCGTTTGTCATTTTCCATTTACACGATATAGCACAACCCATCTTTACGAGCTTGTTGCGGGCCACAGACCTCAATCATCTCAGCACTTCCTAACTACTCTTGGTTTAGTGAACCTCGGAAATTTCCTCACCGGAACTAATGCTTATCTCGATGGCATTTATGTAAGTAGTCCCAATATTTTTCAGGTTATTAAACGAGCTTCAAATAACACTGATGTCCACAGTACCATTGTTGCTGACTCCATGATGTACTGTTAAACTAACCACTGCTTTCATACCCGACCCACCTTTAATACATTTCGGAGGAGAAATTGTTCCCCTGAAAGGTTGTCCAGGATTTAGTTTCTTCTGTAAAATTTTCTGTGTTTTCCAATAATCAGCTCTCTCTATTCTTGGGACCATCTTACTGCTTATCTTGATTTCTGCTATGATCAATATTGCCCTGTCGAAACTATTTATATTTGAACTGGTTTTCTTCACCACTCTTTAAGCAATTCTGCTGTGCTCAACCGACGGCCTACGTGGCCGTCAGGTGCTACAGTGCTGAAGTTAGACGCCTGAACACAATGTTCATTGAGACTATTTTGGGCAATAAAAGCTGTCATGAGACCTTGACTACCTTACGAAAACTCTGTGACTCACGTATAAATTCTTGTCCCAACGTTGAAGTACTAAATCATCAATTTACCTCTGTCCCTGCCTCAAGCTCCCTCCCACCTACTTTTTCAAACCATGATACAATATATACTGTTTCTTCGATCGAGGTTCTCTAAGTCTTGATGGTCAACAAATAGCATGATTCCGATCGAATAGCATCCCATTTGTTAAAAACCTGCGCCGACTAGCTTGCATCTCTACAAATGCTTCCATACAACGAAGCGTCTTCAATAGTTTCTGCTGAGGAAGCCCATTTCTACTGCCTACTCGTGGCAGAGGT